TTTCATGGTATAATGAAAATAAATTATTAGGTGCTTGATTACAAAAACATTAATATGAAAACACATAAAGTGACAAATTTTTATTCTGTTGCCTTTTATTGAACAATATTAGTCCTCCATTTAACATTCACAGTATGCCAGATACCCTCATCGGTCAGAAATCTCTTCTGAAAACTTCCACGTCTTCAATATTGGAGAATTTAAACTTTAATAGCTCCAGGATGACCTCTCTCTCCAGGTCATCGAGCATCTACATAACACAGTAAAAGTAAACAATTAGTAAAAGTATAAACCGAGTGGACTGAACGATAGCAAAACATTAAATCCTCATTTCACGTTCATTCATTTCATGCTAGCCGGCTAGCTAGCAAGTTAACGCTAGGTTAACCTGAGCATCATAGTCAACTGCTAACGGCTAATTTGGAAAAAATTAAAACAGCCCATCCACAAAGGTAACATTAGGTAATTTGCGTGAGATATTTATACATATTGATAAAGGCGGCTAGTAAAATGGCAAACATATGTGACTCGTGTATTCAGACATTGATAAATTCTGTCACTTACTGTTGTCACAGCGGTAATCAAATGTCGAAAATGCCGAAGTCTTTTAGGAGACTCACAAAAAGTTTATTTCTGGTCCTGACGCTGGACGCTGGGCGTAGTTTGTAGGGGGCGTGGTTTGTACCGCGGCTGCAGCTAGACCCTTCTCGCCAGAACAGCTCAGGGGCCTGCGACTGCCTGTGACGTCACACATCTACCTCACTACGGCAACTCCACCCGGACAAAATACATTGCGCCCAATTTGCATGATAGATAGATAGATAGATGTATATATACATATATATATATATATATATATATATACAGTACAGGCCAAAAGTTTGGACACACCTTCTCATTCAATGTGTTTTCTTTATTTTCATGACTATTTACATTGTAGATTCTCACTGAAGGCATCAAAACTATGAATGAACACATGTGGAGTTATGTACTTAACAAAAAAAGGTTAAATAACTGAAAACATGTTTTATATTCTAGTTTCTTCAAAATAGCCACCCTTTGCTCTGATTACTGCTTTGCACACTCTTGGCATTCTCTCCATGAGCTTCAAGAGGTAGTCACCTGAAATGGTTTCCACTTCACAGGTGTGCCTTATCAGGGTTAATTAGTGGAATTTCTTGCTTTATCAATGGGGTTGGGACCATCAGTTGTGTTGTGCAGAAGTCAGGTTAATACACAGCCGACAGCCCTATTGGACAACTGTTAAAATTCATATTATGGCAAGAACCAATCAGCTAACTAAAGAAAAATGAGTGGCCATCATTACTTTAAGAAATGAAGGTCAGTCAGTCCGGAAAATTGCAAAAACTTTAAATGTGTCCCCAAGTGGAGTCGCAAAAACCATCAAGCGCTACAACGAAACTGGCACACATGAGGACCGACCCAGGAAAGGAAGACCAAGAGTCACCTCTGCTTCTGAGGATAAGTTCATCCGAGTCACCAGCCTCAGAAATGGCAAGTTAACAGCAGCTCAGATCAGAGACCAGATGAATGCCACACAGAGTTCTAGCAGCAGACCCATCTCTAGAACAACTGTTAAGAGGAGACTGCGCGAATCAGGCCTTCATGGTCAAATAGCTGCTAGGAAACCACTGCTAAGGAGAGGCAACAAGCAGAAGAGATTTGTTTGGGCCAAGAAACACAAGGAATGGACATTAGACCAGTGGAAATCTGTGCTTTGGTCTGATGAGTCCAAATTTGAGATCTTTGGTTCCAACCACCGTGTCTTTGTGAGACGCAGAAAAGGTGAACGGATGGATTCCACATGCCTGGTTCCCACTGTGAAGCATGGAGGAGGAGGTGTGATGGTGTGGGGGTGTTTTGCTGGTGACACTGTTGGGGATTTATTCAAAATTGAAGGCACACTGAACCAGCATGGCTACCACAGCATCCTGCAGCGACATGCCATCCCATCTGGTTTGCGTTTAGTTGGACGATCATTTATTTTTCAACAGGACAATGACCCCAAACACACCTCCAGGCTGTGTAAGGGCTATTTGACCAAGAAGGAGAGTGATGGAGTGCTGCGGCAGATGACCTGGCCTCCACAGTCACCGGACCTGAACCCAATCGAGATGGTTTGGGGTGAGCTGGACCGCAGAGTGAAGGCAAAGGGGCCAACAAGTGCTAAACACCTCTGGGAACTCCTTCAAGACTGTTGGAAAACCATTTCAGGTGACTACCTCTTGAAGCTCATCAAGAGAATGCCAAGAGTGTGCAAAGCAGTAATCAGAGCAAAGGGTGGCTATTTTGAAGAAACTAGAATATAAAACATGTTTTCAGTTATTTCACCTTTTTTTGTTAAGTACATAACTCCACATGTGTTCATTCATAGTTTTGATGCCTTCAGTGAGAATCTACAATGTAAATAGTCATGAAAATAAAGAAAACACATTGAATGAGAAGGTGTGTCCAAACTTTTGGCCTGTACTGTATATGTATATGTATATGTATATATAGATATAAATAAACACTATCTAATATTTCATGTTAATTTCTACCTTGGATCATGCTTAAATTGCTTAAATCACAAATATGAAAACTGGAAACTATTCAATCTGTTTCCCATGCCAATAGAATTATACATTATATTGAGCTGCAGTCTGGGAGGAGTATTTTTTAGACCAAATATTGATGCCAGTACTTACATCTTAAACTACATCCTCCAATTCCATACATATATTTTGAGCTTTATTAGTAGATATACAATATATAATTGACAGTTCTACTGTGCTATGCCAAGTTTTCGGGTGGCCAAGAGCCATCTCTGGTTTGTCTCCTGGGGCCCCTTGCTGTGTGTCTTAAAGGGTTCCCATAGTCATGGGCGCAGCACACGCGGAGTATGCATGGGACATGTCCCCTGCTCTTCCTGTATCTTTGCCCTCTGTTCACCGCACTTTTTACAGCTGTTAGAACCGTTCAATTTGTTTTTAACATGTGGTAACATGTTTTTCTGAGCCGTCTTTAAACACACCATGAGTAGGCGGTGCCAGGTGGCATACACAGATGAGACGTGTGCTGCTGGGCAGTGCTGCTGCTGTGTTAACTATGTTCAGCAAACCAGCCAGCAAGAAGCAAAAAAACTTGCACAGTTTCTTCCAAACAAACCGTGTAAGCTGAGTAATGCTGTTGCATGTAGATAATGTTAGCTAAATGATGACTAATTAATAGATGCCAATATATCAAGTTAAGCTAGTTAACAAGAATACTAAGGTTATTGTCACCTATGTTAAATAGCTTGCTAGCTAGTTTCATGCTAGGAATAAACCCACTCCTCCTTAATTTATGCACAGAACTTGTGCTCACTATTGCTTTGCACATATTTTTTTTAAAATCTTTATTGCTACAATAGAAAGAGCAGGGTCGGGGAGGAGACAGTGGACCAGAGGCCAGCAAGGTTGATCATGCAGGGTCTTCACAGGTGAGGAGAGATTATAACTGGTGGAGAAAAAATATCTGTAGCATAAAAGTGACTTTGAGGTTAATTTCCACAGCAATTTCAATACTACTATTCCTAATTCTATTTCAAAATTTTGCTTTCCACATATATTTTTTTAATCTTTATTGCCACAATAGAAAGAGCAGGGTCAGGGAGGAGACAGTGGACCAGAGGCCAGCAAGGATGATCATGCAGGGTCTTCACAGGTGAGAAGAGAATATAACTGGCTGAGAAAAAGATCTATAGCATAAAAGTGACTTTGCGATTAATTTCCACAGTTATGTCACCACTACTATTCTTAATTCTATCTATAAATTTTGCTTTGCACATTTATTATCTATATTATTGCAATAGATAGAAGAGAGACAGGGAGAAACCAGGCAGGTATCAGGACAGGCGCCTGACAGCAGCACCAATTATCAGCCCAAAGCTTCACAGGTAAGGAGAAATTATAACTGGCTAAGGAAATGTCTATAGGATAAGAGTGACTCTAACATTAATTTTCACAGCTATTTCAGAACTACTCTTATTTATGCTCTAAAATGTTTTTGTCTGTATTGCAATAGGTAGTACAGGGAGAAGGCTTAAAAATATTTGATTAATTTTGCACATCTGTGTTGTCATACTTGACTAAAATGAGAAATACATCTTGATGTTGATATGTTTAGTGTTGTGTCACTTTCTGTCTTCATGCCATTAAATTAAATTATGAGGCTTATTACCCTGTTACCTTGTCACTTTCATTCCATTTTGTGTGCTAATAATGTTCTAACAGGAATGGTGTTTTACTGAGTGTTTTTACCATGTTCAGTGTTGTCATTTGACACTTAATTATCTGGCTACTTACCCTGTAGATGCTCGAGGGTCATTCTGTGTCAACTCAACCAGAGTTTGGCAGCTAAAACTTTAGATTTTGATAGTACATAATTGTAAAGAACTAAACTAACTGTGGCTGTTTGTGGTAATGTGGTTCTTTAGCCCCTAAGGAGAGCTGCAATTGAATGCGAGAGGATGATAAATCACTCAATAGACCTCTGAACAATTTGTCCACCTCACTTCTGAAATGATGGCTACGCCCCTGCCCATAGTTATGATATAACTACTGGGTGGGGAGATAATCTTGATACGATAGAGAACGTTTGGTTACATTGTAACCTTGGTTCTCTGAGTGAGGAGATTATCTCCCCAGGCTTAAGGCCGCCCAGTACCCGTTCCTATCAATGTTAATCAGTGGGTGCATGCACAAGATGGGGCTTTTATAGCCAAGAAGTCAGGCAACTCAGTGTACTCAGTGTTTATTCATCAGGTGTTTACGTTATCTTCAGCTCATCAGGGTAGTGAACTATGCTGAATTTTTATGCTTTGTTTTTCCTATGACTTGGTTGCTCAGATTGAGTGTCATGCATTCTTATACATTTGACATCAAACTGTACCTGACTACTTTATGAGTCAGTTAAACAAACATTAAAGTGAGTGAGACGGTGCTTTATGAAACAGTGTCTTTAAAGTGTAAAAACATTTTATTTTATTTAAGTTTCAATGTCAGCACATATCATAAAAAGACCAAAATTAACAATGTGTCAGACCATCTCTACTTTGTTACTTTACTACAAATGTGGCTCTCAGTGTCAAGCCCACTGGTCTGTGCTAAAGACATAAATCTTTAAAAGCAACTAAAATATATATTTTATTTAAGAGAAAGATTCAGTAATTCCCAAACAGCTGGCTGCTGTAGTTTTTAATGAACGTTCCTCAAACAGAATAAAATAGTGCAGTATTTAGAGACTATTTTCAATGGTAGATTAATACCAAGCCACCAGGCTAGTGCCCAGTGTGGATACTGTGGGATTACAGGGTACCAGGGTCGCTGATACATGCCTGCTGGTCCCTGTATGACCAAAGTGAGAGCTGTGTCTGCATACTCAGCGTAAAGTCAAACACATTCTCAGTGGGTGTTGGCCTTTGCCAAGGTTGTCCCTTGTCATCGATCCTGTTTGTGATATCCATGGACAGGATCTAAAGGCACAGCCTTGGGGAGGAAGGGGTCTGGTTTGGGGACCTCAGAATTTGTCTCGGCTTTTTGCAGATGATGTTGTTCTGTTGGCTTCATCACACCTTGACCTGCAGCATGCACTGGGGTGGTTTACAGCTGAGTGTGAAGTAGCTGGAATGAGTTAGCACCTCCAAGTCTGAGGCCATGGCCTGGGAGCACTTTGGGTTCCCCTGGAAAGAGCTGGAAAGCATTGCTGGGGAGAGGGATGTCTTGAGTGCTTTGCTTGGCTTGCTGCCTCCATGACCCAGCCCCAAATAAGTGAATGAAAATGGAAGGATGGATGGATGGATGGATATTCTGTTGATTGACTAATTGATGAATCTACTGATCACTATATCAATAGCAAGCTCTTACATGATCATTAATAATTAAAGTGGGATCTAACTTCAAAATCCAACTAATCACACAAACTGATCAGATTGATTATCATCTAAACAACAGAGGAAAATGCACTCTCTGTGGCTATAAAGTATTCTGAGTGCAAAATTTAAGGTGGAGATGAACAACTGAAACTTAAAGTCCCAGTACACACAGATTTGTTACCAGAGTTCTAGCTAGGTGCTGTCTTAGTGATTCAAAGCTCAGCTGACCACCATGGAGAACCAGTCCAATGAGGAGAAAGCCCAAAACACAGAATGCACCCAGCAGGCTGAAGACCACATACACTGTAAAACAGGAGGACAGAAACATCAGGTTCACACACTTTGGTTGTTTGGAACATACACTTCATTATATCAGCAATCCAATTACTTGTGGAAAGACTGGAAAATTCAATAAGCCCTCAGTTTGCAAGGCTGCTTCATAAATTCAACACATTAAGTGAAAAATCTTAAAAAATAACCCGATACCTGGCATGTATTGTGGTCAAGCTTCAGTGTTAAACTGTTCAATTCCAATGTCTTCTACATTTACATCTCTGAAAGGAACTAGTAAAATTCAACTAAGTCACTCTTTAAACCAAGAGTAATAAACACTGGAGAGGAACTGTTTTCACATTATAACAAGATATTTTTCTGTGTTTTAATGACAGACTATTCTCATTACTACTTACAAATTATTCTCTTTTATCAGTACTAATTTTTTTCTTGTTATAATGATACATTGTTATTCAGTTGTGTCTTATATGTGTTTTACATTTTGTGATTAATCATGAAATTCACTATTACACAAAATCAATATATTTTAATTAAATATAATTAATTAATTAATTAAGCAAATTTCTTTTGTCACGATGGTTGGAGAATGCTGCCATACTTGTAACATATAAACTGCAATCACAATATTCATATTGAAAGGTTCAGTTGAGGAAAGCAGGAAGACAGATGGCGAACAGAGAAATGTCTTGATGCTGTCTCTTTCATCTAGTTATAAATGTTTCTCATCACCAAAATAAACAGATTAATGGGGAACGGGTGGTGCAAAAAGGTAGAGGCATGTCAAAAAAATGTAAGCACTGTGAAGGGTCTTAACTGTTTTATTTTGGCTTTGGGAAGGGGAATACAAATTTAAATGGTTGTATTTTGTATAATTTTACTGCAGATTTTTAAGAAAACCGATGGATTTGGAAGGTATGTTTTATTTTAAAAAAAAATGCCAAAATTACCCCATTTATTACAGCCTGAAACTGTAAAAACTGATTTTGGATTTTTAATTTTCCGACAGTCCTTGAACACGTGCTACAGACACTTCCATCAGATAAAAAGCATTATCAAATCAGCTTAAAGACTGATATTTCATCAAAATCACTTTATATTTATGTATCATTTAAAATTTGGCCAAAAAACCGTTTGCACTAACTAACCAGCATGCGCAACAAGAGTGAAAAATGAGGCTTTTTTCAACTCCAAGATTTTGTCTTCGACTTTTAACTTTCAAACATCAAAGGGTAAGTTTTAAAAATCTAATAACTTATTTATGGTGGAGGGAGGGTCATGTATCTTTCAGCAGAAACAAACAACAACAAAAACAAGTCACACCCCAGCCATCCCCCTCCTGATAAGTAAAGAACAGTCCCTTAAGGTTGCACAAAAGATGAAACAAAATTGCACATGCTTGGATTACACCATTATCTGTGTATACAGTAAAACACATACGTGAGCTTCTGGATGGAGGAGGGCTGGTGAAGGCACAGTAAGGTTTACTGGAGACAGCTCTGTTGTTGAAGAGTGATGTCACAGAGATGTTCACACAGTACTCCACACCTGGCTGCAGGTACGCAATCATGTGCTCCTCTTTGTAAGGCAAACTCAGTCTGAACTGTATCACAACAGATACATGATAAAGGGCATGACAGAAATTACATGGCACTATGCTAATAATTGTTAATAATAACAGAACCTATTGTTATTGTCAAGATTATTTTCTTTCTTCTGCGCCATTGCCTTTTTGAGGGGCTTAGGATGCTGAAAGACTAACAAACCAAGCGACAACCTCCAACTGAAAAATTAAGCCAATACAGAAGTGCCAAAAACAGTGCAGTTCCTCTAATGGCCACTTGAGGCTAGCTCTGGAAGCCAGTCATGTTGAAATGTCTAACTTTACAGCAGAAATAAACATGCTTACAGCCTGGTACAAAAAACGGGTTTGGTCTCTATAGCTGATTTAAACAGTCATGGCAACTGTACAGGGGGTGAATTTTTTTTTATAACTCACCTGTTTATTCTTTATTAAGGCTTAAAGTTACACATAATTGAGGGCAGGGCCTTTTTGAGCGACAAGCTGTTTGCTGATAATGTCCTCGGCTTCTCAGTCAGATCCACCCCTTGTTCCCCCACAGTTCCAGCCCTTCACCCAAATATGGTCACTTCTGGCTCCAAAATATCAAGATGGCAATGGCCGTAATGCTAAACTGGAAGCTTCAAAATGGTAGACAACCATGGTAGCTATGTCCATTATTTTTTACAGTCCATGATCAGGCAAGAACTGGCAAAAATTGCAAAGTTCTGCAGTAATAGGGCGTGGTTAGCAGTGCCCCCAAACACACACTTGGGTTGGGATACAGTTCTTTTGACATTCATGAAATTTGAGTAGATCATGTCTCTCATCTTTGAAGGGATAGTGCACCCAAAAATGAAAATTCAGCCATTATCTACTCACCCATATGCCGACAGAGGCCCTGGTAAAGTTTTAGAGTCCTCACATCCCTTGCGGAGATAGGCGGGGGGAGCGGCTAACACACCTAATGGTTGACGGCACCCCAGACTAATGTCCAAGTACACAAAATTGAATCCACAAAGTATCTCCATACTGCTTATTCGTAGTGATCCAAGTGTGCTGCAGCCCCAACATAAAAAGTTGTTTCAAAAAACGTCATATGAACTCTGTTTTTAGCCTCACTGTAGCCTGTAGCTCTGACTGCTTCTCTGTGCTCCGCATTCACGTGTGCGCGCTTGTGCGAGACCAGCGAAAGCATGAGCTTTGCTCACCCGTGTTTACATCACGTGACACGTGCACCGCAGGGGGAGACAGCAGTAACCACAGAGCTAAAAGATCATTTGCACTACGGTCTTTTAGCAAAGGACAGCCCAACATGTCTGAAGACTTTGAAATTGAGGAGGAACAGCATTTCTTTGTTGAGCCGTATTTGTTTGAGCCCGAGTATACGGACGGAACTCAGGCTACTGGACGAAGCAGCTGCCGCAGCTCATGAGCCTAACCCTCAGCCAGCTGCAGAATACCGGAGTCGAGCACTGAAAACCTGGTGGTGTAGTTGTTTCAAATGCAAAGCAATGCCAATGGATGAGGAAAGTCTTTGCTGCTCAGACTGGGAATTGGCAATGCCTGCACTTGAGAATCTGGACATCAGTACTGACGAGACTGCTGCTCTTCAGAGACCGTGCATCACCGATCACCCTGAGCGCGCACACGTGAGCGCGGAGCACAGAGAAGCAGTCAGAGCTACAGGCTACAGTGAGGCTAAAAACAGAGTTCATATGATGTTTTTCAAAACAACTTTTTATGTCGGGGCTGCAGCACACTTGGATCACTACGGATGAGCAGTATGGAAATACTTTGTGGATTCAATTTTGTGTACTTCGACGTTAGTCTGGGGTGCCGTCAGCCATTAGGTGTGTTAGCCGCTCCCCTTGCCGATCTCCGCAAGGGATGTGAGGACTCTAAAACTTCACCAGGGCCTCCATCGGCATATGGGTGAGTAGATAATGGCTGAATTTTCATTTTTGGGTGCACTATCCCTTTAAGAACTTAAAGAAAATTTAAAAAAAAAAAAAGTTTTTCACCCAACAGATGGTCAGCCATCTTGAATTTTGTGTGCACATTTTTGTTTTACAAACACCTTTGAGGACTTTAGGATGCATAAAAACTTTGCATCCAGGTTCAAAGTAGTAATGATTTCAATTTGAAGGTGTAATTGGGCTTGGGCATGGCACACTGGCTCTGTAGTGCCCCCTTATTACTTTTAGCCTTTGAATACAGCCTTATACCACCCTTGGTATACTCTTAAAAAACTCAAGAAACTTGGTGAACTGCACAGTGCCTGAGGCCTTTCACTCATTAGGAGGCGTCCTAATGAGTGAAAGGCCTCAGTTGGGACAAAGTTGCTCTGATAATAACAACACGTGGTATGCACATTGCTCTCATCATTCCAGATGTATTTCCCATGTGATTTTAGTAGCTCCGCCCACCCAAGAAAGTATGTTTTTCATGTATTATATGCAAACCTCCTAGGGGGTTTATCAGATTTGTTTCAAATTTGTGGTTTAATTTTAAAAACTTAATTATGAAAAGTTGTTATAATTTTTGTGGATTGCAGATTGTAGACAGGCATAAAATTTCCATGTTGCACCAGGAAACAGGGAGTGGTTTTTAACTCAACTTTACATTGTTTAATCTGCACCAAATGTATTGTGCTTGAGTCCCAGCTTGACATGACAACAGGAAATGATATGTTTTGTAATTAAAAGAACTCCGAGAGAATTAATCAGATTAACTTCATATTTGGTCAGTACAGTCTTAACATTTTTGGGTCTTTGTAGAAAATTGTTGCCATAGCATGGTGGCCATTTTGCGTGTTTTGCCATAAAACAAAAAAATGTTGTAACTTGATCATACACTGTCTAATCAAATTTCTTATGCTTAATTAGAGTTCCAGCCAAAAGACGTCTATGTGTTGAGTCACAGTTATGGCACCAACTGAAGTCAGCCTTATGTGATAAGGATCATTTGAATTATATGAAATTTACAGTGTGGTCTACACATGATATACAGCCACATGATATATAC